TTCAAAAAATGCCACAAGGTACCTATAGGCGTCTTTAGTGTTTAAGTTCCTTTATCCTTGCTCTTAAGAAATTATATGGATTTGGCCCAAGGTCCCTCCATTATGTTTAAGGCACTTAGGAATTAGAACCCTTACCAGTTTGCGAACATCTTCACACCAGACTTCTCCTTTCTCAGTTTGTTCAGCATATAGAGATATTCCCAGAAGCTGACTGAACAAGGAATTCAGACCTTCCATACATGCCCCAAGAGAGAAAAAGGGACAGTACAAACTGGGCTCAATGTTATACCTAAGGAAAACACATATAAAAAGTAAAAGTATTTGCTGAACCCTACAATCCAATGCAAAAATCCAGACCCATATACCCCATTTATAGGTATTTTATGGCACTTAGCAGCGTCTCAGCAGTGCACATGATACAAGTATATACCATATATATGAATTAAGAATCACAACACTTTTGTTGAGTGAATTATTAACTTCACTTTTCAAATAGGGAAAACAAGGACACAAAGATTAGAATACATTTCAAAATTATCCACTGATTTTTGAATGAATAAAATCCAAACACTAGAACTCTGCTATTTTTCAAAGTCTCTAATCAAAACGCTTTATTATAGCCAAGTGTTAAAAGAATAGTTGTTCTGCATCCACTTGCTCCTGTTTCTTTTCCTCCAGCCCCCACTAACATAAAAGACTGGGCCTTAGAACTAAGGAAACTCAGATGCTGCATTTTGGTGACATGTTTCACTGCAGTTACATTCCACTATCCAACTTCATTAGACCATGGTGCACAGCAGGATAGGATTAGTTCTCTAAGCCACGGCAATCGTTTCTTTTAAACTTTTCTTTGTGGGTTTTTTTCCATGTCTTTTATGTTATCCTTATAAAAGCACTCTAGCAGTATTTTGCTACTGCCATGGCAACATTTGTTGAAGATATCAGAAATGTTTAGATACAAGACTTTATCTATCTTTACCCTAACGGTTTGATTTCTGGCGTGCTGCGTGCATTTCATTCTGCTTTTAGCATGCAAAACAAACTAGAACTCTAAATGGTTACTACACTGGTTATTATTTCCCCAAAGTAGTAGCAGCATTTAAATTCATATTCAGTCCAATGGAATTTGGCACAACAAAATATTAAATAAAAATTAAATAAAATCACGATACATTTTTGCCCTTACCCCTGGTAAGCTGCCATACCCAAAAAATAAAGCAAAAACATATGTTCCATTTTAAAAATGCTTTGTTTTGGATTATGCAAGATAAAAGAATGCAAGCCTCCAGAAGTGCACGTAATCTGGATCCATTTGGTGTATTTTGGGCCATAAGAAGTTTACACCTATTGGAACATCAAATACACACCGAATTTACAAAACAGCTTTCACAGACGAGCCTACATACTTCACTTTATGAACCTCCTGGATACAAAAAATCATGGAATAAATATACAGGGGTGTAGGTAGTAGCCATGTCGGTCTAAGGACATAGGCAGACCAGGTTCTTTGGGTGAATCTGATCTATTTTATTAGACCAACTTAAATAGTTGGAAAAAATTTTCTTAGCAAACTTTTGGGTTTAAAAACCCTTCGTTAGGCTGAGGAAACATCTGCAGTTGGTGTGCGCTCTTCCTGGATGGAATCAATAACAAAGAAGCCAGAGGTTGGTATGCATGCAAGAAAGGCAGTCAGTGAAGATGTAAATTGAGGAGTCAGTGGGGGGGAGGGGGGAGGAGAAGGGGGATGAATGTAGCAGGTAAATAGTGGAGAGGTACCAAGGGAGTCAGATGTCAGGTCGGTTGTAGAAATGCAATACATCGCATCCAGTGCACCAAATGCCCTGATGGAAAACATGTAGGCCAGACCAAACAACAACTGTGCACCAGAATGAACACACACAGGAAATCTATCACAGACAAAAATACCCAGTTACCATTAGGGGCACATTTCTCACAAGAAAACCACTCTCTCTCCAATCTCTCAGTTCTAATCCTCAAAGGGAATTTACAAAACACTTGTCACAAACAAGCCTATGAACTCCACTTTTTCAACCTCCTGGATGCAAAAAAATCATGGGCTAAATATAGATATTGGATTTATGACACACTACAACCTGCCTGACATCTGACTGCCTTGGTACCTCTCCACTATTTACCTGCTACATTCATCCCCCTTCTCCTCTTCCAGCCCCCCTCCGACCCCCTCTACCCCCCTTACTGACTCCTCAATTTACATCTTCACTGACTGCCTTTCTTGCATGCAGACCAGCCTCTGGCTTCTTTATTATTCATTCCATCCAGGAAGAGCACACACCAACTGCAGATGCTTCCTCAGCCTAACGAAGAGCATGTATACCGGAAAGCTTGCTAAGAAGAATTTTTCCAAGTATTTGAGTTGGCCTAATAAAAGATTTACGCAAAGAACCTTGTCTGTCTGTGTCCTTAAACCAACAGAGCCTCAACCTACACCCCTGTAGGTTAGAGATGTATTTATGTCTTCTGTAATAGGCCTTAGCAACCCTAAGAACACCAGGGCTGCTGCATACAGACCTCTTGGAAGTATAAAGCTGCATCTACTCTTAAATTTTCAGATCTGAAAATTCCTAACTGGTACAGCTCCACAAGTGGTAGCACTACTGCAAGGTATAGCAGATAAGGCTAAGACAGGCTCAGGAGTTATTACCATATTTTATAATCCTGCTCAGAAAACTAAAAGGATAGATACTGTACAGGCTGCTTAATGCACCTCAGTTTTATTACAATACCCTCTCCAAAACTGATTCCCAAACTTAAGCCTCTTCTGAGTACAAAATGCAAACTGAACTGAAATGCTATTTTCATTTAAAAAGAAATGCAGAGACAACTGTTACATTTAAAAGCTAGATACGTTCTTTGTACACATTATCTGACAGACTTCTATTGTTAGCTGACATCGCTGGTAAAAGATTGGATTTTTAAGAGCTGAGTTGCCCTTTTGCGACTCATAATTGCTTCTGGCACACAGGATTTATCATCCACCAAAATAAAGTTCAGTATAACACAAGACAACAATTTTTTTAGAAGGTTCTATGATCCTTCGTATTAAAAAGATTATAGTAGATTATACCAGTGATTCTCAACGTGGGTGCCAAAAAATGAATGAAAGCTAAGAGCTGGCATTTTCTGAGGGGTGCCCCTAGTCTATAAAGATAGAAAACCACTGGTTTATTCCAAAGTAGCCAAAGATGTATAAGGGGGGGGAAGGGGAAGGGAGTTTGGCTTCATACTACTTCAGTCAAATTATTTTCTATTCTGGAAAAGGAGATGCAGAACTTTTATGTAAACAGGAGGCATTGATAAAGAATCTGAACCCTGTATACATGGTGGAAACCAAGTTTTAAGAACTGTTGCATTTGGTCCATATGGAAGTGCCGGAAGTTCACTGAATACCTATAGTTTAGTTACCTTATACATACATTTGTGAAATGTGATTTCTAAATATAGAAATACTTTGGTAACAACAATACTATGTGATGAGATTGATGAATTTCATACATATACACGTATCTAATGAAAACACTATGGTTAAAGAAAAAAATGACATGTTATGATAATCAAGAAAGAAAATATAACAAAAATACATTTACTTTGTTTTTGGTACTTTGGAACAGATACTGCATGAACAGGTGGACAAATATATGAACACACACTGAACTTAATTCAGTTAAGAATCCAGAGACCCAGTAAAGGAACAGATTTTAAATAGC